AATATTTGGAGATTGAGAATTAACTAAAATCAAGAGGTGAAGGAGAAAATGCACTGCCACATAAGCTATGTGGTAGGGTCGACAAATATTATCTAAAATTAATCAATCTGGTAGTAGAAGTATTCTAAAATTACTTAGACTTATGGCAATAACCATCAGAAGAATCAAAAAGAAAGTTAAATGGTTACTTCTGCTGAGTAAGATTTAGGAGAGTGAGGACTCAGGGAAAATTTTACTTTTCAACTGAAACCCTTCTGTACTCCTTGCATTTTCCTACCATATATGGATTTACTACAAACACATATTTAAGAAAACAGAAGAAAGTGACATGAACTCCCCTGCTCTTTGTTACCTTTGCTCTTGAAACTAGACAAAAGAGTACAAGAACACAAATCAACATCTGTATCCGCATTCACCATAGTCCACGCGCGCCTGCCATAGCCACGTGCTGTGGGACGTGCTGGGCCAAAGCCACCAACTAAGGCAGACTCCCCAGAACCTTACATCCTAGAGCCACAGGCCACCACAGTCCTCCCTACTTCTTGTAAAGGACTCGGTACCTCGCAGGGCTCACAAGAATGAGAAAATATATGGTGAACACTGCAAAAATGCAGACAGAAAAAGGCCAATCTTGTGAGAGTTTATCACTTGATATACAAACTGTAACTTGACACTGACACTCAAATTAGGAAACCAAATGATTATAAGTAGCAGTAATATAGCTCTGTGCAGCTTAATAAGCATTCTGACACCTCATTCAATCCTTACAACTCTGACAAGTAAATTCTTTCCCTCTGCCCATTCTTTCAAAAGCCGAAAAAACAGAAGCTGCGAATATTATTTACTTGGCCAGGGTCACCAAGCTAGTAAACCAGAATCTATATTTGGTCTTCTTACATATAATAGTATATATTATTATGGTTCATACATAATATACCTTATATAATATATAATTATTCAATATATAGGTTATTCTATTTTTTTCTTTTTTTGGGGCTGTGTTGGGTCTTTGTTGCTGTGCGCAGGCTTTCTCTAGTTGCGGCGAGCGGGGGCTACTCTTTGTTGCGTGTGTGGGCTTCTCATTGTGGTGGTTTCTTTTGTTGCAGAGCATGGGCTCTAGGTGCGTGGGCTTCAGTAGCTGTGGCGTGCGGGCCCAGTAGTTGTGGCTTGAGGGCCCTAGAGCACAGCACAGGCTCAGTAGTTGTGGCACATGGGCTTAGTTGCTCCGCGGCATGTGGGATCTTCCCGGACCAGGGCTCGAACCCGTGTCCCCTGCAACGGCAGGCGGACTCTTCACCACTGTGCCACCAGGGAAGTCCTCTATTTCTTATTACATAGGAAATAAAGAGTAAATATACATATATATTTCTTATACTATACTATCTGTCTCTGAGTAAATCTGAGCTTAATGCTTTTTAAAAAAGTTTAATCTGCATTTGAATATCTACTGTAACTGAGGCAGACCCAAATACTTTATAAATGCTTTCACATGCCCCCACCATATTTTGGCAAAATTTAAACACAATCTTTGACAAAATAAAGCTAAGTGAAGAATACTGATAATGGCCTATAATGCTTAAGAAATATTCCCAATTTTCACAACTAGCTAAGAAATTATAAACTTATACTTATTTCAAGATAACCCTAAAGGGTCTTTCATTAAATTTACTTCATTAGTGCCAGATTTACAGTTCCTTATAAGCTTTGAGACTGGGGAACATTCAAGAACACGAGAAGGAAGCAGTAAACATCCAGAACATCTTCCCACAGTCTGTCTTAAGCCACTCTCTCCATGTGCACTGGGCAGTGTACCCAGTGTGGTCTCCTGTAACAAGAGAAATGCAAAGCTTTCTTGCTGTCAGACCCAGGTCAGCTAACCATCATACCAGTAGTTAAGATGCTAAATTAAAATTTGAAATTAACTACAAAGTTCAGTAGCTCATCTCTGGAAACAAATGAAAGCAAAACACAACTCTTTTGGTGGTAATTCTGCTATACTAAGCTCAGTCAGCAAAAGAATAAGTTTTAATTTCATTCCACAACTACAAAAACACATCACTGTTTAACTGGCAGTCAAACAGAAACACAGACTACCACGACAGTGGCTTCTTGTGATGGCTGCATCCCTCAGCAGCTTCTTTCCTGCAGGGGGACGTGGGGAAGGAACACTGACCTCTTGCAGACAAGCCTAGACTTGTGCCTTACACACAGAAGAACGCATGACTGACTTTTTCTCGGGAATACACAATGCATATTTTCATCTAATTTTACTGAAAACAACAAAAAAGGAAGAGCTACAGAACAGTAGTGAGAATACAGCATTGCCACAAAACTAGCGTGGGTGGTGGATCAACACTGAGTGAAGAGGACCAACTTCTAACAGGTTTTAACCTGCAGCTGGGATGAGTCCGTGGTGTGAAACATCTGCAGTAAAGTACACTGAGCACCTTGTGATGGCTGCCACAGCCCCAAACAGCATCACCTGCCCCCTTTAAAGCATTGTCAGCTCTTAAACAGATGGGCGGGGTGATACTGGTGTTACTCATGCAGGTATGTTTTGTTAATTAAGGAGCCTGACATGAAGATAGATTACACTGTGGTTTAAATAAAGGAAAACAAGTAGATGGGAAAATTCTCAGGCTAAGGGAGTGGGGGCAGGGTGGAGCAACATATATCCCAGCTTAGAAGGGTGATGACAGGTGCAAGTGATGCTAGATGTAACATCAGATTCCGAACAACTGAAACTGATACAGAATCTGTCTTCCCACGGTCACTGAGAGAGAAACTAGGCCTGGTTTTTGGCTTCAAAGAATTATGTAACGCTATTAAACCTCACAGAACTCTGAGTACCCTCTTCCCCAAGTTTTTCTGGAGCCAAGTATTACTAAAAACACAGTCTTCCATAGTATAAATAATCCTTACATGGTGCAAAGCTCTTTCAAATACTTTATTTCATTAAAAGACCAATGATACAGTCCAAAAGGTCTCTGGCTCCGAAATCCTGGCAAAGTCACTTGATCTGTCTGGCTGCTTCCTTCATAAATAACTGGGCCTGAAAATTTTGATGAAGATACTAATTAATATTTCATAATCCCCATCTTCAATGACTAATGTTTTACAAGCATGTACTCACAAAATCCTCACTCACTATGAGATATACTTCTCTTACCCTCATTTCATAGCCGAGGAAACTAAGGCAAAGAGGGGCTAAGGAACTTGCCCGAGGTCCCAAAGCGAGGATAATAAACTGACCTGCTGGATCCAGGTCAGACCTAGGATGCAATGACTTTCATGCAAACTGAGTGTGAATGGTGAGGATGAAGTCTTCCTATACAGCCTGCCAATGAAACAGGTGATCAACAGCCAAGGAGAAAAAAGACAAAAGACCTTTTTTAAATCCCTTAAGGATTACTGATTCAAGATCTGGCCTACTTTCACGAAGACAATAACGCAACACCTCTTCACAGAAAGGAGCACGCCTCTGAGGAGCATCAAGTGCTCTCCGGCTTTTTTCCTCTGCCAATTACAGATTCCCTTCCAGGGAAGCACATCTGGACTTGAAACGCTGTGCCTTTATGATCACCTCCCAGCGTGAGGTGCTATGACATTAAATTTTATATAAATAAACTGTAATTGTTTTGTGAACAACCAGAGAAAGGAGCTACTGCTTGGTGTTAGCATCAAGTATTAGGCAGTGCTCCTTATGTCTTGCCATAACTTTTAAAGGGGAACAAATTTATAATTCACTGCTACAATGCAGACCACACATCACATGAGAAATTTAGAAACCAGCTGGGATAAATGCCCCGAGAGACTTTTGAGGACAGGAACCCTTACCTTTTTGCATCTTTGCACCCTGCACTACGTGCACTGCGTGAAACCTGCATGTGAGCATTTCCTGGAGATTATCAACAACGGTAAAGTATTACCAAAAGAACGAAGGTGGCAAGACTAGCAGATTCCAAACCGATTTTGTACAGAAATAAAACTGCGTCTAATAATGCAACAGTTAAATACGGACCCCTGGTCCTTCTCAGAATAAAAACATGCTCTGGGTGTTGGCCGAGGACCTTTCACTTCCAAAAGGAAAAAGAGTAAACCACCACGAACTTTCTGCCTCTCTCATCCTAAACAGCTGAATCATTCACATATTCAACCGCCCAGAATTCTTCCAAGGACTGTCAATCCAGGCTCTGCTTCTTGGGAAATCCGAATTTAAGACCTTCCCTAGGAGAGCACTGAAGAATTACAGGAAATGAACGGGATTCCCAAATGACGCAGACTTAGAGGAGTTGCGTTATCCCTAATCCAACAGGAGGCCCTGGGTATCACATCAATCTCCAGTGAAGGAAAGACACCAGTTTGAGAAAACGTACTCATTCCTCCCACGGATATTTATTAAACCTGTATTTGGCGCAAGGCTCACGGGCACTGGGTGGTGGAATGCGGCTGCCGCGGCCCCACAGCCAGCCCGACGCCCCCAAAAGACCGCGGGCCAGGCGCTGGGGCTGGGCGTCCGGGACCCGGCGCCTCACGCCCACACGGGTCTCCCGAGCTGCGTGGGTTCACTCGTGGCGAAATAACAAACCGGTGTGGCCGCCGCGGCAAGGGTCACGCACACCCGCGCGGCCGGTGGGACACCGCACCCGCGCGGTGGTGGGGGGCCTCCGGGGGTCATAGGGGATCCCTGGAGGGCGCATGGGGGCCCCTGGAGCGCCGTGGGGTTCCAGGGGGTGCGTGGGGAGGGCTCCGTGGGTTCCAGGGGATCCCTGGAGGGCAGGTGGGGGACTCCGGGGGTCCTAGGAGGTCCCTGGAACGTAGAGGGGGGCCCAGGGGCGTTCTGGGGATTCCAGGGGGCGCCGAGGGGCCCTAGAGGAATCTCTGGAGGGCGTGTGAGGGTTGAGGGCCCCTGGGGCGTTCTGGGGGCCCCCAAGGAAAGTGGGGGGCCGCCGGCCAGGGACGGAGACCCCCGCTCAGGGCACGCGCGGTCCGGCGCTCACCCAAAGAGCCCTCGGAGAAAGGAGTGGGAGGCCTTGACTCGCTTCTCGGCCTCCGCCATCAGTTGCACCGCCTCTCGCTCCTTCCCCGCGTTGTCCATGTCGCCAGCCGAGACCGCCGCCACAACCTCCTCTACGAGGCGGACGCGCCTCCCGCGCCTCTCGCAGCAGCGGGCCGCGCAGCCTGTCGGGAGTTGCAGTCAAGGCCGCGCCCGGGCCGTCCTCTCGCAGCTGCGGGGCGCGGAGGCGCAGCGTGCAACCTGTCGGGAGTTGTAGTCCAGGCCGCACTCTGCGGCGGAAGCGAGCGAGGCGTCCACTACCATACCCAGAAGACCGCAGAGCCCGCGGGCGTCGGGGGCCTCGAGGCGGGGGTCCTGACCCTCTGTAGGGCCCTCTGCGAAGGGGAACGTTAATCTTTTAAGGATGTGGGGAACGGAAAAGAGCCCGTGGCTTCCAGAGAAGACCGCCTCAAACTCAAGCATTACGTTGGATCAGGAGTCTCTGCCCAGCACGACCGTGGCCGGGGGATGGACGGGGACGCGGGGACAACGGGGTGGATTAGGACACGGCGGGTGGCAGGCTGGAAAGCTTCACTGCACGCGAATTCCGCGAACGTGATGTAAGGCGGCCAGGGACGCAGCTGCAATAACCTTGCGATGCCCCGCCCACCCACCCTCCAGCTCCAGCAGGAGGAGGAACCAAGTTTATCTTCAGAGCAAGGCATTTAAGAGGGAAACGGTTGCCCCAATATAAATTCAGAGTTGGGGCTTCCCTGGTGGCGCAGTGGTTAAGAATCTTCCAGCCAATGCAGGGGATACGTGGTTCAAGCCCTGGTCTGGGAAGATCCCACATGCTGTGGAGCATCTAAACCTGTGTACCACAACTACTGAGCCTGTGCTCTCGAGCCCGCGAGCCACAACTACTGGAGCCTCCGCGCCTAGAGCCCATGCTCTGCAACAAGAGAAGCCACCGCAATGAGAAGTCCGTGCACCACAAGGAAGAGTATCCCCCACTAGCCGCAACTAGAGAAAGCCCTCACGCAGCAAAGAAGACCCAACGCAGCCAAAAATAAATAAATAAATTTATTAAAAAAAAAAATTCAGAGTTGTTTTTCAGTCTCCGCATATTGTAACTTTCTGTCGGTCCTCCTCCTTGGTTAAAGAAGACTTGCATATATGGGATATGTGCATAATCCTCTGTTTTTATTGACTGAATTCTTTTCAATGGATGTGAGCCATTGAGCTCTCTTATTCTTTACATAATACTGGCCATAGTGTGGAGTGGGTCTCCTGGGACACAGTTCTGCCTGCCAGGAACTTATAATCTCTTAGGAGAAGTATCCATAGATAGACGCTACCCTGTGCCAATGATTTCCAGGCCTGTCCTGGAAGGACAGGGGGAGTTACTTTTTAATGCAAAGTCTAGGCCATTTACATTTGGTAATGCTAAAGCAGAGGTGGTGAAGCAAATATGAAAATCGCTGCCAAATGAGAACTTGTGACAATTTCAAACTATTAATAAATACGCTGTGGGCACTGGCACACAAAATACATCTAAGCAAATGAAGCCTGAACTGAGAGAGCAAGGTAAGAAGGGTGAAACTCCTAAAAAGAAAGGTCACTAAAGCTTATGTCACAGAGTCCCTACAGTGCAGCCACTCTAGAGACGGAAGGAAGCCTCAGATCCTCAGGCAGAGTTTATTAACTTTTACTACATGCGATATTCTAACTTCAAAAAGCTAATCTGGAGCAGAATTGGTGAAGAAGGAAGCAGGAAACTAGAGGAAGTAAATGCAGGAGTAAAGAGAAAAACTGCAAAAAGTGGACACAAGCAGTCGAGGAGCAGAGCAGTCTGTAGGGATTTGGTGGAGGGTCCAACTCTAAAACTCCAAGTGCAGTGTGAGTGTGTTGATTAAAGCAGTTCCCAAAGGATGTTCAAGAAATACTGATCCCTGAGCTCCTCGCTCTTTGTATTGGCATCTCGTGGAGCTGGAGTCTAGGAAGTGTGCGTTTAAGGAAGAACACCACTATTCTGAAGCATGCAATTCTAGATTCTCAAATCTGTAGTCAGCGGAGAAGGAGGCGGGATGGACTGCCTTCTCTAAACCAGAACTTGCAGTGATGGGTGGCAGGGGGACATCTGGACAGTTTTGATGTTTCTGGGTATTTCGCTGAGTCTCTTCTTTCTCATGGGCACTCCCAGCCTCCCCCCAAGACCACACCCCTGTGGGAAAAAACGTCAAACCTTCATTGTTGTGTGAAGTGTGTGTTTTCTTCTCCCGGAGGCTGGGTGAGGGGAGGTAGCAGGGCAGAGGAACAGACCTCTCAGAATGAGCACTGACCAGAGGGATGGAGGAGGGATCCTCAAAGCAGGAGGGAGGAGCTGTAGTGGACCAGGGAGGGGGCGAGGCCCTGGAGTAGATCTGAAGGAGCCGTGGCCCACACCTGTGCCAGCCAGGATGGTGGCCACTTAAATTTAGATCAGATAATAGGAAATGAAATGTAAATTTCACCCCTCAGTCAGGCCACATTTCAACTGCTGAACAGCCACATGTAGCTAGTGGCTGCCATTTTATCACTGTACAGAGTTCTAGTGGACAATACTGGCCTGTGCGTACCTTGCCTTTTGGCAGCTCTGGACACTTTGAAGAAAAGAGGAAGACGGCTTCAGAGCTTCTGAGAAGATGGAGCTGGAAAAGAGGAGCTTCACCCCAAACAAGACGGAACCAGGCAGAAGCTGCAGGCCTATCTCTGTGAGCAGGTCAGGTGACGGACACACAGGAGTAGATGGAATGTCGTGTCTACCCACCCACCTTAGAGGTGGTCTGCAAAGGCAGACACAGGCCCTGTGACAGCTGCAGCTCTAGGAAAGGTGGGTCAGGACGTGACCCACGTGGGAATCTAGGTGTGGTGTCTGCATGTGCTCACAGAGGGGCTGCAGCATGGGGGTCCCGTGTGGAGCCAGCACCTGCGGGGGCAGCGGGCGCCCTTGTGGCCTGCCTCAGGGTGCCTCTGACTGCTCAGTGACCAGGCGGCAGCTGCCAGGTACAGCTCACCCAGTGTCACCCTCTGGTTCCAAAGCCAGTAGGAAACTTCTGACGGTGACTAGCACTTAATCTTCCTGTCCCTGCTGCTCCCAACTGCCAGCCCATGCAATTCTCCTGACGGCTCTCTCTGGCCTTCCAGCCTGCTCTGATTGGATGCTGCGGGAGGCAAGGGGGAGGTAATTAACCTCATGAACAGGGAAATTCACGCCCCTTTGCCTCCTGGGAGCAGCCCTCAATCAATGACTGTTAGAAGTTGGAGGATAAATACCCCTCTGGTGGGACAGCTGAGGAATGTTCTACACTCTCCCCTGAGGTGCTCAGTGGGAATGAGCCCCTGTTGCCAAAAGGAGAAGGTAGCTTGTTTGGTAACCTGCATCGGCTTCCTTCCCCGCCCTGTCCCCACACCCCTACTGGCGCTGCCTAGTGGTGTCACCTCCCCACAAACTGCTCTCACTAGAATCCTTGTCTCGAGGTCTGCTTCTGGGAGGACACCAGCCTGGACAGGGAGAGTGTGTGCTGAGGACCAGTAGGTGCGTTCCGGCCCCCATGCTCATTGCAAGTTCATCAGCCGAGCTTCTCACCTGTGGGTCACTGCAGACGCAGGGCTCTGGTTCCCACTTCCAACGTGGTATAAAACCACAACAGCCATTTGTCACTGTCATCCCCCGTGGTCGAGGCACTGCCTGGGATGCCTGGTGTCTCATTCGGGGTCTCTCAGTGAGGGTGTAGCTGGAGCTGGGGTTGACTCTTCCCACTCTCCTGGTGCCGGGGGTGGGAAGACTCATGTGGCCCCTCACAGGCTCTCTCTGGACTCACATGGCGGCCAAAGAGCCAAAGGTGCTGGGGGCCGGCACCCAGGCAGCAGCCCCATCACCTTTAACCTAGTCTCCAAAGTTTCCAGGCATCAGTTCCGTTTCCCGGAAGGAAATCACTCAACTGTGTTCAAGGGGAGGGTCTCAAAGGCTTTGCAGACATGTTAAAACCTCCACAGTTAGGTTTCAGGGAGCCAGTCCCCACCCTGGTCCACTCTGGTTGTGCTGACAAAGCTGGGAAGCAGGAGCCACCAAGCTGGGAGCCACCCTTGCCTCCAAGGGCCCTGGAGCCCTGAGAGGCTCTGCCCCGTTTTCAGCTGCCTCCTCCAAGGACATCTCGGCCTCGCTTCCATCTGCAGCATGAGTGGCTCAGAGGCAGCCAGTCAAAGCCAGGCCCCATCCACTGCTCCCCTTTAGAAAGAGGGAAAAAGGAAGTCATTCCAGAAGGCCCTTCATCCAAAAGCATCAAAGTAACGAATTCAGGACAAGGAATATTCTCCATTCTTGTTGATGAGGTTGGGCTTCTGTACTTTTTGCAGCATTAAGGATAGAATTTAATTACTTTATTTCCAGTGGTTTTTTTTCATTTTCCTCAAGGACTTGCAAAACGCAAGAGCAATTGAATGGGGAGCTTCAGAGGAATCATTGGATCTGTGTTTTTTATTACAATTGTTTTAACTTTTCAAAACAACATTTGGGTATGGGTATGTTTGAGACATTTCACACCATGTCAGAATTTCTAGAAATATTCCCAAAGGCAGCTTTGTTAATATTATTTAACATTTCCTTAAGAAATTATTTTATAAAATTTAGAACAAAGAATTAGAAAAGATAAAATTAATTTAATGCACAATATCTGTTATAGGAAACAGAAAATCTTAAGTCAAAATAAATACTCATGAAAAAATAGTGTTGTTGTTAATGTTATTCTTCTAATTAATCTATATGAAACTCTAAAACGTGTTTTGAAATTAACTTGATGCATTTAAATATGGCAAATAGGCATAAAAACAAAGATGACACAACTTTTATTCATATGATATGTTCAAAGACCTCTCTTTTCTCTCGGCTTAATATAATTCTTTTCAAAGTTATGGTTCTGAGCTACAGGCACAATGGCTTAAAGGGAAAAAATAGTTTATTTCCTGGACTGTTCTGATATCCTTTCACATTATTTTTTTAATGGAATTTGTTTATTTTAATATTTATTTATTTATTTATTTATTTGGCTGCACTGAGTCTT